TTTTCCTCTTGCTTAATTCCTATAGACATAGAGTTCATTTCACTTACCTTCAGATATCTGCAATATAGGCATCAACGTCTAGGCTGATCTCTAGGTTTCCTTTATTCTCACTAGCAAGGAACATGCTATTCTACAGTCTGATTCATTTGACCTATTTAGATGGCTACCTTCTGAAAAGATGAATCAAAAAAAAATAAAAGTGTCTATTTCTCTTCATTGACTATAAAGGCAGCCTAGCCAAAGATAATTTAGATATAAAAGCCATCTACATTAGGATGGATAAATTTCACCCCCAAAGCCATGAAAGGGAGCACAAAACTGAATGCTATTTTCAGCAATATTTAACTTCTGTATGATTTTGAAATCCATCCACAAGGTCATCAAGAGGACTATACTACTGAGAGCTGGTGAGAAGCAATGCCCTGCTCTGTCCTTAACCACAGTGGACCAGCTCCTTCTTGAAAGGAGCAAGGTGACCATGAAATCTGCACCTTCCCACAAATGTGTTTGGAAGAAGAGAGGAAACTTTTTAGAGTACCCTTCTTTCTTTAAACTTGGTCTGCAACAGCATGAATAATGACATACTAGAGTCATAAACTGTATTTGTACACAGAAAGGGCTACTAAACTGTAACAACTTGCACATGCTTTGCCCTGCCACCATGCTTTTAAGAAACTTTTTAAAATAGTTTCTCCTTGTAGCTTTGACTTACTAGAAAACATGTACCTTCTGTTGACTTTAGCTACTTATTGAAAAAGATTCTTTACAGTTTTTATCAAGCATATTCTTTTCCTTGGCATTCTTCAGGGCACTGAAAATGAACGTGTGCTGTAGAAATACACTTCTCTTTTGTCTCAGTGCATGAAAGTCTTTTTTTATACATAGGCTTGTTAATAAAAGCTTTATTTCTACTGTATAAAAAGCATAGTTCTTATCTAACTCAACCCTGATTCAAACCTTATTTTATCAATGAAAACTTTATCATAACTCCACCTGGCTTTCAAATTAGTCTTTTGTGTCTTCCTTGGCTTCAGAAGAAATACTTCAGTTAGATACAGCAGCTAAGCAATACATAGACATTCATGTGAAGTGGAAAAAAGAAAAAAGTGCATATGTCCTAAGATACTTTTGCACAGCAAAATTTACAACCCAATATTCATAAAGACAAAAGGATCATTTAAGATCACATAGCAAAGCTAAAAACTGGAAACTGGTCAGAAAAAAAAGCTACATGCTAACTCTTCTTCATAAAATGCTGGAGTAGTTGCAACCCCCTGCCATGGGCAGGGATGTCTCACATGACCCCATGTTGCCCAAGACTGGCCATACTTGCCTTGGACACTGCCAGGGATGGAGCATTTACCACTTATTTTAGCAACTTGTTCCAGTGCCTCACCACCCTCACAGTAAAGAACTTCTTCCTTACATCATTAAATCATTTTTCATCTCTTCTAACCCAATTTTTCCAATATTTCCTAAGTGTTTGCTACAAAAATGATCAGCTCTATCATCAGATTTCTCTTAAAAACCATTGTTATTTACTTTGCATGCTCCCCTTGATGTAGGATTTGGATTTATACATGAAGCTGCTACTGCAGTGAGAAGAGACCATGCCCTTTTTATAGTGGGTTTGATTTGATTTTATATCCCAAACAATTTTCAGAATGATTTAGGAATTACATATTCTGGCAGGCTGAGGTATATATCCAATAAAACAGAAGAATTTTAATTTTCTTTTTTCCTATCTTTTATCGGTGATGTTTCCCTTACCTGGTATTTTTAGCGTTAACATAACTGTTCTCTGTAGCTGCTAACATCAGCAGCAGCCTGTGATCAATCACAGTTGGCTCACCCATGCAATATAAACAGCCATGTCTGTTCACAAGAGCAGAGATGCTGCCTAGAAACTGCAGTTTAAAAGAGCCTACTGCCTCAATTTTGAACCACTTAAGTCTGGAGAGAGGAAAAGAGAAAGAAGCACAACTTTATGTGATGATTTCTACTACATAAATTTACAGTGGTAGTTTATAAACTGTAAATTTAGCAACATGTGACATTTTGATTGATGAACTTTGCTTTTTCAGATCATATTAAGAAAATTTACCCTGCCAAGAGCTAACATGAACTTCCCATCATGACATTATATTTGTAATACTCTGAACTAACATAAGACATTATTTTGCTTTCTGTATCCTTAACATTCCATCAACATCCTTACATAAGAGAAGGATGATATAGAAGTGAAGAGAATTCATTTCAGCTAATGAGGGAAGCTAACATTTCTGAATACTCAATTATTTGAGTGGGGTAACTAAGATACCAGAAATAAGAAAGGATACCTGATTTTGCTACAAAAGCAGAAAAAGCCCAATCACAACCCCTGACCCCTAGGTTTTGCTGAATCTTGCTCAATACTTAGCTAAGTGTCTTGCAAGACATTTGTGGCATAGACAAAACCTGAACTCATCTTTTCCAAATCTAAGCTAATTCTCTGATTAATGGACCAGACTTTTCTCGTTCCCTGAAGTACTGTAGAACAAGCCGGAAGAATATAAAACTGGCTAAGAAGAATACTGCATACCAGGGAGTCCTACACTGTCTAATTAGCCTTGCTTTACTATGTCTTTTCACCATGGTGGCAAGGCAAACTGAATAAAGCAGCAGGGATAAAGTGCCTTAAAATCACTAATCTATAATAGTGTCCTCTATGGGTCTGCATCCTGTAATGGACCCGGTCATCCCCTGAAGATGTCAAATAACTACATCAAAAATGCTTAAAATTTTATAACTTTCATTTGATATACATTACAAGATAGAGCTTAATATAAAGCCCAGAATGATGTTTCCATTGGCCATCAGCTGAAGTGAGCAATCCTCATGAAGGCTCACATTCACAAAAAGAAGGGAGCTTACATGAGGTTTTCAGGGGTTAGTTGCTAGTTTCAAACTGATTTAGTCATCTATAGTATATACAACTGCTTGTATGTCAGCCATGTGAGATATCTGGAATGTAAACATAATAATTAACAAAATGTGAGTATCTGATATTCCTCTGCAGATATAAGATCAAGATGTATATAGACTTTATGCAGGCAAAAAGAAAACAGCAAAAAACACACCATCAGCATTTAGTCTGCAAGGTTATGCCCTCAAAGAGCTGCAAAAGCCAGAAAGACTGTGAGAGGTTCTATTTGTAAAACATCAAACGTAAAGAAGGTAAATATTTCAACTGAGACTCTGGGGCTGTTGGTAACTCCTTACAAGTTATCTTTCTGCTTGTGTTGATGCAGGGCTGATTTTATTACACACACACACACACACACAGAGGCCATGGTTTCTTAATTGTCTTGTTCTGTAGAAGACTTTACAACAGAAAGATCATCTCACAAATCCATTCACTTTTCTCATGTACATTCCATCACTTCTCAAACTTTAAAATTGTTTAGCAGCCCACCAGAAAGCACCACAAAGATTTCTCAGGATCCTAAAGCACAGTGCAAGAAGTTCTATGACCTCAACCTCTCCAGCTGATGTCCGGAATATGTCTTGTATATTCTCATCCCACCTTCAAAGGTTATTTTACTGCTTTATTCTTCTTATACTTGCATTTCAAATATTATTGCTTTCCACTGAGGTATGTTGTGTCTCATCAACTCAGTAGATTGGCAAAAAAATGAACCAGAGGTAAGTTTTCTCTGATATTTAATTTTTCCTTATAATAACTTAATTACTAGGTAATGTAATTGATTCATGGTTTAGTATAGAATTTCTGACTCTAACTACATTTATAACTGCTGTCCATCATCATAAAAGAAACCAAGTCAGTACACCAATATATTACATATCTGCCTCCATCTTATAAATTATTCATCTTTCTACTGAACTTTGTCCTCAGTTTCCTCTGAAAAGCAGGACCTATGACTTTTAGTGGAGCTTATTCCCCTAATAAAATAAATATTCCGATGTTCTTTTGGGAAAACATATGGCACATGCAAGAAAATAATAGCACAATGTGTCCTGTTATATTAGGTAAGAAAGGTCTGTAAAAAATGTCTCCCTAACAACTGCTCAGCATAGAATCAGATACAAGCCTTCTGAATTTCTGGGTTATGCATAGGTTTTCTAAATGAAAATTCAGTAAAAGAAATAGGATGCAAAAAAATCTGTGTGATAAACACCAAGGGAACACTATCTATTTTCTCTATATTCCACACACATGGCAGGCAAACGTATCAAGCACTTTGCATAAGTTTGCAAGCAATGCTTAAGAAAAATGCATTCTTCAAAACTGAAATAGGTTTATCATTACCAGCTTCTGAATTCAGCTCATCCACAGTTTGTACACTTGCACACTCAGTTTATATGCTCATTTGTTTTTCATGCCAGGAAGTAACAACTACAAAGATTATCTGGAGGTAGGATGGCACTAGGGGAAGCCATACTTTATGGAGATATATATATATATCATTTGTTTTTCATGCCAGGAAGTAACAACTACAAAGATTATCTGGAGGTAGGATGGCACTAGGGGAAGCCATACTTTATGGAGATATATATATATACATGTATATATATATATCTCAACACATAGCAAGTTTCCCAGCTAATCTATCCTGCACAGCTGACTCTGCTGTTACAGTTTAATGAAATAAAATTTCCTATTTATTTACAATAAGCTAAAAAAAAATCTGATTTCACAGTAAAAAAAAATCCAATGTATTCAGGTGCAAAAAGATTCAGTCACTCATTCCTGCTCTGTGTAACTTCAGCAGCAAGAATAATATATGCATCATCTAATTTAACTGCAAATGACTCTCTTAGCATGAATTGTCTGTTTAAAGATAATGCAAAACAGAACTCTTAGCTGCATCCCAGAAGTCATGCAGCACCAGGCAGATAAGATCACAGAGGCTACCAGGAGTAGTAAATGGGAAAAGCACTACAGGAAATGAACTCTTGTCAATAATCTCAAGAGAGTGCAATATTTAGGTCAATTGTACCTGAAATTGTTTGGTGGGGTAATTGCTCTTTGGTACAGACTCTGCTCTCTGAGCCTGTCAGAGTGCTTGTAGGTCCACTGGATCAGATTCACCAATTTTCTTCCAGACTCATTTTCTAAAAGAGAAAAAAAACAAAAAGACAAAATCATTTTACTAAAGGTAGCAAACTTACTAGAAATGGAAAAAATCATTCACGTGTTATTTTAGCTTTTAAAAACAGGCTTTCAATAAATGCATTTAATACAAAAACTTGTTCCAATATCCGACTGATTTCCTCTGTTTTCTAGAATATAAATTTGTTCAATTATTCAGAGTTTTTTTATTTGGTGCTGCAAAAGCCTTCTATATCCAGGACAATATCTATGGAGATTTAGAGCAACCTTTTGCTGTTGCTTATCAGTTAATAATTAATGCAAAATTAGAATTGTTCTTAAATCCTGTTATGTGTCATAGTGCAGCACTTTTCAGGCTTTAATTCAGATTCAGCCCTTGTCTGATAAAACAGCCTATTGTTAATAATTTAAGATGCTTTATGCATGTGTTCAGAGAAATGTGATAAATTCAGTTTTGGGAACCCAATCTAATGAGTCACACATTGACCCTTGGCAGCAGTTAGCTGGATTCATACAGGTATCAGAACACAGTCCTTCTGTCTTATGATTTCTTAGAAGAAATACAATATTCTGCTTTGACAGCACAGTCTCTGGCAGTACTATTCTTTCTTCATATTAAAGAGTCAATATTAATAGGATGAATTTTAAAGTAAGGAAAAGCCTCTTCTAGCAGCTATTCAGCATGTGTTTACCTTCTACACAGACAGATACAGCATCATTTTGGAGTCATTCCTCAGTGCTTGTGATTAGCGTCTACCGTAATTAAAGGAAATGTCATGATGTAACTACACAGCTGAAGAATAGAAATGTACTTTTTATTAAAAAAAAATACAGAGGGAATAAGATGCTCTGCTGAAAGCTGCAGTAGGTGCATTGGTTATTTGAGCTATTGCTTCTTGGATAGAACTTCAAATTCAGAGATACTCATTAAACTGACTAGATGGCAATAACAGACGAAGTGTTAATGGGGCAGCAGTGGAGTGTGTCAGGAAAATGAAGAGACCCTGAGGGGCTCACCACACTGTTTATGCTCAGCTAAATTCAGCAGCATTGCCATAAATCCTCTAAAAGATACTGTACACAATTTCTTACATGCTACTTTTCAGGCAAGGAAATATTCAATGAGATTAGAAAATGGGAACAAAATTAAGCTTAAAAACTATTTTCTATTAAACAAGTTGTTTGCATGTAAACGCATCAATTAGTATGCTGTTATTACTTTTTTATAATTTTAGAAAAACACAGAGAAGGCCTTTTAATCTTCAAAATAAAGTGTGAATCTAAGTGGAAAAATCTGAAACTGTACACAGGAAAAGAGCCCTTTAACCAAAGAATCATAATTTCTTTCATAAAATTCTTTTCTAATTGAAGGATCACGTTTCAATATTAGTTTCTTATATACACAGTCCAGCTGGCTAAAACACAATTATGCAAAACCCCAACAACTTTTCATGAGAGTGCAAAATTCTTGATTTCTAGTTTGTTTTTTATTATTATTATTATTATTCTGAGATGGAATTATGAGGAGTAAATTAATGTTAGGAAATATACATAAGCCATTAATTCCAATAATTTACTGCTTAAAATTAAACATCTTATATATAGTTCTAATACATCTTCATGGTAATATTAACGTGCCTTTTATCTTCGATCTTAGAAAAAATTTTCCCTAGGATAGATGGATTTGCTCTTAGGGAGAAAATGGCTGTAACACGCTTTGTAACTTCAATTGTAGGCTCAGATGCAGGTAAAAAAATAGTTATTTACACAATAAGGGTACCAACGAAACAGTTACATGCTTCACAAAGTTTATTTTTCTACTTTTATTTCAACGGTAGGTTGATATTTATGATTTAAAAGTTGTGGGGCATTGCACGAGGTACTCCACCCCTCCGCCACAGGTGTTTCAGCACCATGGCTAGCGACCGCAACTGCCGTCCTGCTGCCCTTCGAAACAGCCGTCAGCTCCTTCCCATAGCCGTTGACTTCAAAATAAAAATACCTTATTTCTGGAGGTAGTGTAAGTAAGTGCATGTGCTCTGGATGTCCTAACTTGCTGCTGAATTAAAAATTTGTTACATATTAAAGCATTGGGGTTTTTTTCTGACAGAAAGGATTTACACTGGAATAGGGTATATTTAAATTAGACACCAGGAAGAAGTTCTCTACTGTGAGGGTGGTGAGACATCGGAACAGGTTGCCCAGAGAAACTGTGGATGCCCCACCCCTGGAAGTGCTCAAGGCCAGCTTGGATGGGGCTTAGAGCAAGTGGGAGTAGACGCCTCTAGCGGAAGGTGTCCCTGCCCTTGGCAAGGGGGATGGAACTAGATGATCTTTAAGGTCCCTTCCCACCCAAACCATTCCATGATACTATGATACTTGGGACTTTTCATTATTTGAAACAATGAGAATTAACAGATCTGAAAATAAATCAGTTGTTAAAATATGCAAAGACAAGTCTAAGAGGCTAACAATGCTGGTTTTCACTACACACTCCTGAGCCTCTACTTCAAATTGAAAAATATGATGTCCAGCAGCACTCTTGCATTTATGGGGAATACTGATTTGCATATACAAATCAAGTCTCCACATGTGCAGTACCTATTCAGAGACCTGCCTTAATATCAGCTTGGTAAACTCACATCCAGCCACAGGCAACTTGCTTACCCCTGAGAATACTGGAAAAATAAAGTCCCCACAGTTTTTTTCATTAGAATTCTGCTAATGATAAAAACGCTTTGTTTCAGGAGCCTAAACAAAAAAAATCAATTACCTTTGTAGAAGTAGTAATATAGGGTACTGCTTAGCACCTAAGAAAAGCAGATTAAATGACATGGCCTCTAAGATGCCCTAAGTGATGTACTTACTATTACAATGGCAAAAACACCTGGGACGGATGCTTTATCTTTATGAGCAGTAGACATTTTAGTAGCAAACAAGAAAATTCTCACAAAAAGGTTAAATTCCAAGTGATGCTGAAACCCAGCAATTCCCAGGAAGGCCATAAAGAGCTCCCCATTCTTATTATCCCCAAAGCTACAGACAAAAAAATGAACCAGTAAAATAGAATCCCCAGGAAATGTCCATCCCTACCTCACTCCCATGCAAACACTGCCTGCCTTTCATGGGCTATGCACATCCTCTGCCTTCTTCTGCTCTACTATGTCAACAGTAGTGGTCACTCGAGTTGTTGCTTGCAATATTTAATTTGCTTTTCTGTTTCTTCAGGGAAGGATGAAATAATTACAACTATTTCCAATATTTGGATAGTTTTAAAAATTATTTAAAGAATTGAATTCATATTAATATTTATGAGATATTTGTGATTATGGACAGATCTTAGCAGATGACAGATGATGTAAATTTACAGACACTAAACTCATGCTTCTGATTATTCAGATTAATGTATAAATAAAATACAGTGGGCCTAGTCCTGCTTCTGCTGACATTAGGGAAACTTCTATCATGCTTTTTAATTGTAATGATACCATAAACCCAACCTCTAGAAATAAACATTAAGTCAAAGGTCAAGAAATATAAAACCAAAAAATCAGTTCAAAAGTATTAGCTGAATAACAAATACAATATTTTTTCTCCCAGAATATGAAATTCTGAATCCAAATGCAAAAAAAAAGAACCTAACATAAGGTAAAAAACTCTTTTCCCTATTATTACATATTTCCTGTATTACCTTCCTCCATCAAGAACCCATATAAAACTACAAAGAGTAAATATTTGTGAGCTTTTACATTAACTTTAACACAAATCCACCAATAGTCAGTCCCAATCCTGCTTTGAAGTATTACCTAGACTTATAAAACACTATTATCTATAAATAAAAGAGGATGATTAAGAAAACATGGTCTGAAATACAGAAATATAGCAGAGTGAATGGCCTTCATCAGAGGAAGAAGGTATCCAAAGCTGGCAGTTAGTGCTCTCAGAAAATTTAACCAATAAAAGCAGACAGTCCATGCGCATCCTTGTTAATACTCGATGTCATGTTTTCTGATGTCAAGTGTGGCTTAGGTAGGATTAATGGTTCAAAAAATCAGTTTCTGCCAAACAAGGATTTAAAACTAATGAGGAAAATACACAACTGGCATTGAGTGGAGTTTTTTTGGAAAGGCGGCACACACTCCTCAAACAGTGGTTAAACAGTTATTGCCTGACTGTGAGGCACACTGGAGAAAGTGGGAAACAGTGTGCTAATACCTGAGTAAAAAATCTGAGTATTTTCCTGACTATGGAAGGCAAAGAGGATGGTGGAAACACATCGGAAGTCTTTGCAGTGTTACTTGTGGCTTTTCCAAACTGAACAATGTGTCCAGTGCCGGGAAAATACTGAATCTGAAATCTGCCTTAAGTAGGAAGGGTAACGGGTTCAAACTTAAACAGGGGAAGTTTAGATTGTATATAAGGCATAAATTCTTTACTGTTAGGGTGGTGAGGCACTGGAATGGGTTGCCCAGGGAGGTTGTGAATGCTCCATCCCTGGCAGTGTTCAAGGCCAGGTTGGACTAAGCCTTGGCTGGCATGGTTTAGTGTGAGATGTCCCTGCCCATGGCAGGGGGGTTGGAACTAGATGATCTTAAGGTCCTTTCCAACCCTAACTATTCCATGATTCTATGATTCCAGGTCCAGGAAACACACTATATTCACATAGTGGATCCATTTTCTGTGTCTCAGTTTGATGGTGACTTAGAATGTTCTATGATATACTTGAGGCACGTTTAAAATAAAATTGACACGTCTTTAAAGCCTAATGAGCAAAGCTGCATATACATTAAAGAGAGACCGATAGGTAGATAGCTATTGATCTTTATTTTTTTTATCCATCTCTCTATTTATAAAAGGGAAAGGAGGAAGGACACACACTAACCTTACTACTATTTTGACATGTGCAAACAAGCTCGATTGAACAGTGATTTTTTCATACAATACTCTGCTGAAATCTGCCTCATCATTGTCAGAACAGAAGAGAGACATGTATGGATATGCT